CCTCTTGCCAAATCGTAAGATTATAAAATATAATTTATTATTTTCGCCTCTGCAAAATTAAGTGAATTAAAAGGAATTGATATAATTTCATCCTGTGATATGAACTCTTAACTTTTCAGAAGCCCAGGTTCCAATATTTTTTAAATTTCTTTCAATTATTATCAAAGTAAACTTTTAATTAATAAATTCTTGAAAAATAAGACTTGTCAATGTATTAAAAATAACAAAAAAAGTGTACAAAATTATTAATTAAGTGTACAAATTTATATCTGACTTCATGTCTGATTAAGAGTTCAACTTGTCGCAGAATAAATTTTTGTCAATCCTTTTTGATCCACATATCTATTTGCAGGGATTACGTTCGATAACTACTCGTAAGAAATGTAATCTCATATCTGGCTATCTTTCATTCCAAAATCTGACAGACCTCGTCAAAGAAACGGAAACATGTGGATTCAGTTCGAGTGACCACGATGAATCACGTATGTAATGCAGATGAATACGTATGTAATACGTATTGATATGTTGTACTTATGATAAAAACGAGGATATGTCGTTTTATTTCTAGTATCTTTGTATAATCTCGTTGTAATATACACTTTTCCCATATGTACACAACACATACGTATATATGCACCCCCCCCACACACACACAAACATACACATTTATATATCTTTAATATCTTATCTATTATATAATATCTTTAATATTATATAATATCTTTAATAATATGAACAGAATATATTTTTGCAATATAAAATACATGCATGCCTGCTTTTTAGTTGATATCGTGAGCATGACGACCTGGCCAAGCTCGACGTGTGAGAAAGTATGGTGGGTTATCACTTGGCCTATTAATTTGGCACTACTCGTTACTATTCCCGATTGTAGAAGAAACAAACTAAGATCTTGGTATCCCATTACGTTCACCATGTGCGTAATGTGGATTGCAAGTTCGTCCTACATCATTGGATGGGTCATCACCGTTATCGGTACGTATCATCAGCGATCAAATATTTATGTTTATAGATAGCTAAGTTTCCTAAAAACAAATTTTACTGCACAAAATATCTGCTACAGATATAAATTTTGTCGACAAAATGTAAATCGAAAAAATATAATCAAAGTATATCAGTTTTTTAACAGAATTTAATGTATTCTGTTCTTTTTTTGGAAGTTTTATAAGTTTTATAAGATACATAATATATTTAATGTATTATACGTATTACATAGTACATTTAATAGATTCTCTCATATTTAATATATCAATCATTTTATTTTGAAAATATCAGCCATATCATTTTGAATTTGAAATTTATTATGAATCTTATTCTTTTGTATTATTTTTTATTTTATAAATGTTTCTTTGAATGTTGATGGTTTTTGTCCTGTTCGTTACGATTGTATAATCACTATTTTTTCATTATATTTTAGGCGACACCTTTAGAATTCCTGATTCTATTATGGGTTTAACATTCCTTGCGGCGGGAATGAGTGTACCTGAAGCAGTATCGAGTGTCATCGTTGCTAATCAAGGTATAACAAGTATTGACTGCATTCTTTGTAGAGAAAACAGCTTCGCAATTATTGTAAAAATCTGATACATATCTTTGATATGATTAATATAACAGTATAATTAGTTTTTGTTCCTAGTTCCTCATGGATCTAAATAATAAATTAATCATATTAATGAATTTTACAATAGCTGCAGAACTGTTTTTTTTGCTGAAGGCAAGCATTGCAATTTCTGAACCATCGATGCCGTGTCAGATTGCAATGTTAAAACAAAAATTTCATAAAATTCTCATTTCGCTTTACTTTTCAACACATATATAAAATTTTATAATTGCTGTTTCCTTCCAGGTTACGGAGCTATGGGAATAAGTAATTCGATTGGATCGAATGTATTCGATGTATTACTGTGTCTTGGACTACCATGGTTCATTAAAGCCGCGCTATTACCAAAAATACCTGGACAATATTATGTTCAGATTAATTCTCAAGGACTAGTCTATAGCTCAGTATCTCTTTTCTCCACATTAATTATCTTGTACGGTGCTTTATTTATTAACAAATTCACACTAAGTCGCACAGTTGGAATCATTTGTCTCGTTATGTATGCTATATTTTTAATATTTGCATCCGTCGTAGAGCTCAACACATTTTTCATTGTTAATTTGCCAATATGTATTGACTAACAGTAATATCGATTTTGTTAAAATGTAATGCTATATTTGTAATCATTATGTAATTTACTTGTGTAAATTTGTATGTTACAACAAACTTATACTTAATATGTTTGTACAATGTTTTGTAACAAAATTATCTGAATATATTAGGCATTTTAATTAATCTAAATAGCTGTGTTAGCTGTGTTAATGTAAATTTACTTTACTTTCTTCACACTTGTAATTAATGCATAAAAATTATATTATAATCTTTTACACATAGACTTATATCATATATTCAAATAATTAATACTAATATAATTATATAGATTCAGTTTTTATATATCTAACATATCACAGTTTTTTAATTATGAATAATTAAATATAAATATAACTAGATATAATTGTACGTTCATTGTCAGCTTCAAGAAAAAAAGTCACAGCCCATGTAAATTTAAAATTTTTAAAAATTGAGGAATATAATCAGACATTTAAAAAAAAAATCACAAAAGTATAAATTTGAACTATGAATAACCATTGTATAAAAAAATGTACTTATTTCTCACATATATATTTCATGCATATTATTAAAAGTGATAAAAATTATGTTTAAAAAAATTAAGTATTTATATTTTATACACCCCCCCCCACACACACACACACACACACACACACACACACACGTGTGTGCATATATTTATATTTAAGCTAGATTCATAAATTTTGTTCAATTTCCTCAATTTTAAATAAAAATTGTTTCAACAAAAATTGACAACTCTCAAATTTAAGAAAAGCAATTAGCAGAGCTGATAAAAGACTGAATCACAGATATTAGTATATAATAATATAAATAGATCAACCTTTGGAATTATTTTAATATTAATTAACCCATAATTAATAATTACAAGTTTCAAAAATATAAACAAAAGCATATGATTATTTAATAAAAGTTAATTCGTTTTATTTCACAACTTATTTCTAAATAACTGATCACAATCTATCATAATTTTCTGATATGTTTTTCTAGTCCTTATTTCACAATTTGTCTCAAGATAACTGGCCACAATCTTCTATCATAATTTTTTGATATGTTTTTCCAGTTGATGAACCATGACTTTCAATTTTCCTTACAACATCCATTCCTCCAAAAACACTACCAAATACAACATGTTTATTATCTAGCCAAGGTGTTTTTACAGTAGTAATAAAGAATTGTGAGCCATTTGTATTTGGACCAGAATTTGCCATTGATAATGTACCCATGGAAGTATGCTTCAACTCGAAATTCTCATCTTCAAATTTCTCCCCATAAATAGACCTTCCACCTGTACCATTGTGATTTGTGAAGTCACCCCCTTGACACATAAAGTTGGGAATTATACGATGGAAATAGCTTCCTTTATAACCATAGCCTCTCTCTCCTGTACATAGAGCACGGAAATTCTCTGCAGTCTTTGGTACAACATCAGTACGTAACTGCATTATAATCCGTCCTAATGGTTTTTCATCCACAGATACATCAAAATATACTAATGGTAAATTCATCTTGCTTTTGTGACTATTCATCAATATATCAGAAGCTGGAAAAAACGTAATCAAATTATAAAAATTATATTGTGTACCTGAAATCACAATCAGAGACAGCAAAAATAAGTTCTGTTATTACTAATTATATTTTATAATTATGCATTTTTTATGAGTATATTGTATTTATAAAGACTAGAAATTATGGATAATGAATAATGAACATAAATAATTTTTTTACTAAATCGATTCAGGATAAAAAAGTATAGATAAAATCTTTGTATCATTTTATACGCCTGATTGGGAGTTTCTTCTTTCTCTATAATTATTGTTTATCTACCTTTTTAATCTTTATCTCTTTTAGATATTTGTTTTCAAAAATAAAACGTGGTATCTATATTTTTGTTAAATGGTGTCCTTTAGTACGAATTATGTTACGACTTACCAGTGCCACAAAATTTTTGAATTACTACACGTGACTACCGGACACTGTCGAACAATGTTTATGAAGAAAGCATGAAGTAAGCATAAGTAAGAGTGCCGTCCCATGGGCACGGAAAACGGAATCAGAACCATAATTTAGGCCTGTTCTACAATACATCATGTGTTGGTGTCGCAAGCCACAAGAATTGACCAATCACAGACAAATGTGGAGAAAATACTTGATTGTGATTGGCCCATTCTTACCACACTTACGACACTCAGCGCATTGTAGAATAGATCTAACCAGTTAATCCCGGTTTACAATAGGTGATTTAAGCCTTAGCCATAAGAAATGGACGAATCAGAATCGAAGAATAGGAGAATATTCGACTATGATTGATCAATTTTCTTATGGCTTAAGGCTTAAATCATGTATTGTAGATCGGGACTTACGATAGTACATCTTGAATAAGGGTGCCGTCTCATGAACACGGAAAATGGAATCGGAACGGAGTCATAAAGGTGAAAGGATGGGGACAGCCAATCAGCATTGTTCCAAAAATTTCATTTAGCTTTCCGATTTTAAACACCCCAATTCCCTATGGAATATATTTTTCAGAAAACGGAAGATGCAGTCCACTTGATACTACAAATGTTTCGAAGCATTTTTTGATTGGTCAATTCATAGAATTCTTTGTTTTGATTGGTTAATCAAACGCTTCGAAGTTTTGTAGCGCTAAATGGATCAGTAGTACCCGGAATCCATTCTAATCTTATTTTTTTTCAGTTTGATAATTTTTCATTATTCTATTTAAATAATATTAATATTAATAATAATCACCTATAATTTTTCATCATTTAATTCAAGTAATAAATTATTCGACAATCTGACGAGTGACATCCAAGAAAACATTCGGCAAATCGACGGAAGTATCACTCCGTTTTAATATAAAAAAAAAATAAAAATTGTTTTCATAAAGATAAGAGAAAATGTAGAGAAAGATATCTATTTGAATAGAAAAAATTTTGTATTTTCATATAAATTGATATCCTTTCATGAATAACAGGCGCGTGATGCGTATGTAGTGCGCACACGTATATGCGTATGTGAAAACATAAGATCTCTATTCTATTAAAGCCTCTCAAAATCCGAATACATTTTACTTGAAACATTTTTTTTTTTTTTTCGAGAATAAGGAATTGTATGGAAATTGCATCAAAAATTATAATGATGACATTGTATACACACGCATACGTATATGCATACATACACATATAAAAAATAAGCGATCAATTAAAAATCATATATTTTTAATATTACATAATTAAATATGCCCGTACAAATAATTTTTATTATATGAAACTTGATAAGTATAAGTATGTATTTACATTATTATGTTGTATAACATATAACTATGCATGATTTACATTCATCTTATCATCTATCAATTACATATACTCATGATTCGATGATATTTACATCATTTTCCCTTACAGAGAAGAGGATAATGTCTGCATTTATAATGTCAATATATTTTTTGCACAAATTTTGCAAATCAGAAATATTAATCATTTTTTTCATATATAACATACATGATAACATAAACATTTTATTTTTTCAGTCACATCCATAATTTGTATATCTTGTATTTATAGCTTTTTTTGATATTTCGCACATATAATCATTCAGATGTTAATATACATATTCTCTCTATATGTTTCTTTTTAAATCTGTCGCATACAAGTGTGTGAGCATAAATTATTTCGCTTTATTTTTTTATCATTTAAACATGTATAATATAATCATGATGCTATTATAAAAGTTGTCAATAAATATATGTGATACAATTCAAACAAATGTTTAACACACATCCGTACATCATCAGTTTTGCATCATAAGCACGTGGGATGTCTCTTGATTCAAGAAACAAATACAATGCAGGTACGTTACTTCTACTATGTTGATGTAAGCTACCTGCATATATCATGGGGCTGTGATGTGCTTATTAACAGCTTGTACAGACTTGTCCACTTCGTTCTAACGAAGTCTCTGCTCTTTAACAGAGCCAAGTCTTCCCACACTTAATATATACTGCAATATATACCAGATGATATTTAGGATTCAAACTGTAATGAGTTCGTCTTCTGACACACAATGTGTCCTTGAACTTCGAAGTAGGAATCAGGATATTGTTCTGGAGTTGGAATTTTCAGAACATCATCTTGGTATACAACTTTTCATTGTTTCATGAATGTGTGTGTACGCGCGATATGGGAATGTGTAGATCACATTCTCAATAAAATAAAAGCTGAATTTTATTTTTTGTATATATTGATAAAAACTGTTAATATATATACACATATATACATATGTATATCATAAATATATTTAAAAAACTAAGCTACCATATGAATATTTCTATGTTGAATAATTTATACTCACATAATGTAAGCGAGCCCTGTCCTAATCTAAATATATATATTGTAATTTATGGGTGCATAACTGTGTATATCCCATGATACTATTTACAATTTATAAAAAACTATTTAATTGCAATTATATCGATGTGTATAATAAACGACATAATTTTGAAATTAATTGATCACACTTTTTATAAAATTGCCTAGTTGATTTACTAAATATATGATGAAATATTCTATGAATTGTTATATTTGAAATAAGTTCTATAAGTTTAAATATGTAAAAATTTGATTTTATCTATATGCGTGATGAGATGTATCAAAAAAGCTGTATTTTTAAAAATCGATTTGACGTAAGATTTCTTATGTTATGTAGTGATATTAAATAGATACAGATGAAATAATGATATAAATCTTCTGAATTTTTTCATTTCTTAGACTAAATTCACATTAGAAGCAGAAAACAGAAAAACAATTTGTAGAGCTATTAAAAATTGCATTAATAGTTATTAATATATTTTTTTTACTGACTGGCTTCAATAAATTCTATTTTTCCACTTCTAATATAAATCCAGATTTATATTATACTAGATCTTTTTGATGACTAAAAAAGAAAGATATAGATACTTTATTTTTTTATAAAATATATAGAAATTTACCTTCTCTATACGATATGAAAGTTCCTTTTATTTCTCCTAATCGCTTTACGTTTTTTTTTTTCTTTTTTTTCTTTTTTTTTCTTTTTTTTTAATAAGTGGTATCAATATCTCTCTTATCTATGTTTTACCAATGAGTTTAAGTTACAAAAAAAAAAAAATCTGAAGTTTTCTGTAATCTAATGACACTATATATATGTACATACATACATAACATTGATAAATTGGCGATATATAGATGCTGTGGAATATATTTTCTTTTGTTCATATTTTTTTTATGAATTGATTGAATTGTTTGACATTTTAGAAATTGCAATGTACATATGCTGTAAATGTTTGTGAATGTATGATAAGAAATATATAATTTTTTTTATATCAAGTAATAGTATGTCAGCTTTTTACATATTAAAATATATTTGTTTTAATATATTCTAATATTATATTATACTAATCTATCTATGATTAAAAATATTCTTATTTTAATGCAAAATTTCTTTTTCCCTATAGATAGATATAACTAAATTTTTTTCATCAATTTTATCACGCATCAAAACCTGAAAGTCAGAGATTTGTAATAAAGTATTATTTGTTATGTATAACATAGTACTTGTTTTTCCATGTTAAGCAATATATTAGGAATTTGATTTATAAAATGCACTTATTTGTTTCAAAACATACATTGTATATTTATTAATGTTTTAATGTCATTGTATATTTATTATTATTAATAGCACCAATGAAATATATACAAATAGCTAAAAAAACAAATAATTTTTGAGAATATTCAGTTTGTCACTTTTCTAATAATACTTCACAATATACAATGATTTAAATGACATCATCATACATATCGAAAAATTTATATTTTACTGTAATATTAACATATATTTTTATTTTATATTTCAAATAATATTGTTCTTCTATTATAAGGTATTTTATTAAGTTTATTTTCAAAAAAAGAAAAACCATGATATATAAATTATTTTCAAAAGTAATTTAATACTAATTTTCATTGCATGCTATCAAATAGTATACAGTATATATTAATAGGAATTTGTTAAAAATCACAATATAAAAGAACCAATATGATCATTTCTACATATGAGACTGTATGTGATTTTTAACATCAATGTATTATGTGCATTTTTATAAATTTAGTTTTAAATAAAATGAATCATAGGGGTTTGCCTTATTTTTAGCTACAGAAATTTTCATATTTTTTTAAAGAAATTATATTAATGCAATTAATATATTTTCTTTTTTATCACTTTTCTTTGCAAAATTAATAATTATGTTTTGTATGAGATACAAAATCGACAAGCAACAAATATCTAAATATCTAGATGTTTTCTCTATTCAGGTTTTGACACAAGGTACAAATAAGTATCATGAAAAAAAATCGGTGAATATAAATGGAATGAATAGGAATGAAGTTTGAAGCTTTACAAGAAAAATTAGCTCTCTGAAAATTTTCTTACAAAATATTATCACAGTTATGATAATTTTTTTACTTACTGTATGTTTACTTTGTAAACGCTTCTGATGGTACCTGTCCACGTTTATAAAATTCTTGAAAGGCAGAGAGTGCATTGTTGTAGTTCCATTGTGTTTCTTGTAAACACTTTAAGCTCCATTCCAAATTCATAGTTGTTTGTTGGCTTAACGTCATTGTCATCTGCTGTTTTATATCGTCACTGGGTTCTGTTGTCATAGGCTTTGTTATTTCTGCGGATACTAACGCCGGCGTCTCTGGCTGGGTTTGCTGATTATTTAACTGTTGATTTAACTGTTGATGCAGTTGCTTCAATTGCGCCTCAGGCGGTTGACTAATGTGCAACTGCTCGTTCCGAATGCAATATCCATCACCCTCTGGAACGATTATGAATGTCCGATTGAAGTGGCGGATAGGTTCATCTTTGTTATTAACTTCTTGGAAATAGCCCGTTATCGTGATAAACATCATTGTTTGCTATAAACAAAAAATAAATTATAACTACATTAGTTTAATGTATGTTCTTAGTTACAAAAAATAGCCATTTACTGTAGCAAGAGAAATGTCCATAGTAAAAGTATTTAGCAGATGTCTTGTTCGTGGCATTTCTGATATAAAAGAGACTACAGGCAATCTACCCTGCTTTAATAATTTCTGTCTTTTGATTGTATCATTTATTCTGAACAAATTACGATTTTCCATGAGATATCCATTTAACCTGCAACAAAAATATTTTTAATTTGTACTCAATAACATAAAGATTAAGGATATAGCTATGACACACACACACACACACACACGCGCGCGCGCGCGCGCATACACACACATACGCACACACAGATAAGAAAATATGGAAGAAATAAAATTATAATACATAATGTTTTCTTACATAAACGCTTACTTGTTATTGTAAGTACTCGTTATTGTCATGCTAAAGCAAGCATGTTCATCGTAAGCGTCAAGTAGGGGTTGACGATTCTCGCTATCGAATATCGTAAAATATTGTTGCAGAAAATGGCTCGCAATTTCTTGTGCTTTAGCATCGGTAACAAACATTCTTTGTGATGGAAGAATTTTGGTAACTTCGTCGACCACATCAAAGACAATCGGTCGCGGTAATTCTATGCCGTCCTGTCAATTTAATAAAAATTAATATTCATATAAGAAGGGATATACACAATTTTGGGAATATATGTGTAATGATGTATATAATACTCACTAAATGCAGCAGTTTTGGAAATCGTTTCCGGACATCACTATAATCGAAAAAAAAACTCCACATGGTCCAAAAACAAAAATATAAGCTTCATTAAGTAATACGAGAGAAAAGCGAATCATTTAATCGAAAGATTTAAAGAAAACTATAATAAAATGCAATAAAATGTTTAATAAAATATTAAACAGGACTCTCGAAAATATCACAATAAATATAATAAAGGACAACTAAGAGTCAATCGAAGTTTTTATGCCGTTATCGGTGTGCAAAAATTTAATAAACATATTTATTTCACATTAAAAATTACAATATATAATTGTAATATATAATTGTAATAAAACTGAACATTTTGGTCCATTTTCGAACTATCAACGAAATTAGATAAAAACACAATAATCTAATTAAATGTGAAATTCTGTGGTGAAAACTAACAAATAATTTATGAATTTCGCACTCAATTTTTGAAAAATTAACTTTTTATATAAAAACGATATTTCGTTTGTAGTGGCATTTGAAGCAATAATAATTTCAGTTATAGTTTCATTCATTAAAAAATATCAAAATTTCAAAAAATAATTCATACATGACATTGATATATTTCAAATCCGCTTGAACAGTTTTTTTTCCTAGAATCGTTTATAGTTGTTTGTACTTTTCGAACCGTTCAAAAGACGACTACAAACGAAACGGAAAATACTAAAAACAATTACAAACGCGCTCAGTTATTGCCTGGAGCTCAAGGCGTGCAGACGCACTGTACGGGATACTATTCAGCGCAAATTATCTCCTGTGCGTGTTTTCTCCGTTTTAACGTGAATGTATTCATCTGATGAGTGACAGCTCTTTAGTGACCATTCAGTTTTTTTCATTTTTTTTAAAGATGATATAGATATGCACGGTCATAATAATTATTAATCAACGATTTTATTATCGTTGGGCTCATCTAGTGGGCACAGGATCAATTTTTACTTTTTTTTTATATATCCACTATGACAAACTTGAGTCAAAAGAGTCATTTAGAGTTTGTAATAAAGATTAAAAATTTTGTAATAAAAAGTGTTGCACACTGTTAACAGTGCCGATTCTTATTTGCCTTATTGTCTTCTACTGAAAACATATATTTGTATGTAGAAAAATGTAATCGGCAAGAATATCAACGCGCCGGTTACACTTTAAAGTAAAGTAAAGTAAAGTAAAGTAAAGTAAAGTAAAGTAAAGTAAAATAAAGTAAAATAAAGTAGTTAAAATAAAAGTACCAAATATACTATAATCTCAAAAGTTAGAGCAAGCAATCGAAAAATAGTCAGCGTACAATAAAACATAAAAGACTTAGTTTAACTCTAGTTTTGACTCTTAATTGTTCTTACATTCTTTTGAAAAATATTTAATAAAATTATAAGTGCCTTTATAAATTAACGATATTTACATTTAATCTACTAGGAAATTAAATTATTTAAAAATTTTCGGCTTAGAGAGTTACCAAAGTAAATATAACACGCTTGTTGCTGGAATACTGTCCCATAAATACATTATCAAATTTATCTTAACACTTCTTGTTTTTCACTTTTCAATGAAAGAAAAGATTACATTGGAATGATACATTACCTAACGTAATCACTTTGTCGAGATTTATACTTGTTACACATAGGATTCCCAGTTAATTTCAATTCGTTGAGTTTCAGATCCTTGATGAAATCGAGCTGATGAATGTCCCTGATCTATAATATATATATATATATATATATATATACAATTAATTTAGGCTGTTACAATCGAGCGTAAAGCAATATATATTTTCATTTTGCATCCTGTATATGTTATACTCACCTTGTTTTCACCAATGTACAAAATTTTTAATTTCGACAGTTTCTTACTTAGCACGCTAAGTCTCTCGATATTATATAACTTGTTGCTTTCTAAATTTAAAGCTTCCAAGTTTGGTATGTGTTCAGCCACAATATCTAACACAGTCATTAATATAATAGGATGAAACAATGCACAAAAGTAATCAGAGACAAGATCTGTAAGATAAACATATAATCATAAGCTGCAATTTTCAAATTGTATTAATCAATAAGTATTTAATATATTGTTTATATTGTAATTAATATAATTGTTTTTAACATATTTGAACTATATTTATAATTTTATTTTTACCTGGATCAAGATGGAATTTAGACAAATCTAAAGCATTTGTCTCTTGCACATATCTCTTTACCATTGCTTGTTTCAATCGTTCCTTCAATTTATCATCAATCTCACATAATGGAAATCCTTTGTGCTGCTCAGGTTTTACTTTTACTTGCAGTTTAAACCCATCAGTCATTGTAATCTTACGGTCACAATTTAATAATGCATTTGCCGTCTTATGATTGTCCACATAGAAATTAGCATCATTTCCCATTATCTTATACTGTAAATATTTTGTTTTAAGCAACAATTTCAAACTTTTGTCATATTATTTATATATATATATAAAAGTCTATTATTATATATAATTTACATATTATACTACAGTCATACACATACACGCGCGCACATTTGCACACATCAATACATAACATAATATACATAATACACATATACATAATATACATCGAATAAAATATAAATTTTATAAAAAATTTTACTAACCATTATGGGAACAAATACTTCGGGTGCCATATAATTCATTAAAGTCCTTACAATATAATCCTTTTCATATTTGTGACCATATGGTATCTGTAAAATATATGTATAAAAAAACTTATTGATAAGTCTATACATATGTAATCATATATAATATGATTTGAGAATATGTCATACTTACAATAATTTTATAACAGTTGGAATCTACCATTGGAACAGGTCGCAATCTAGATTGGCCTTTAAAGTTCCTGTTTGGCATAGGGCTATTTCTTCCCCGAGAAATGGTTCGCCAAGCCCTGTCACCATGATCTCTGTCTCTTGGATTAATGACTACTTGTCTTGTATTGTTGTTCGAGGTACCAGTCATTGGAATATCTTCATCAAAATTTGCTAATGCCAAATTACGTGGTATTTCTCTATTAATCGGCCTATGAGTTTTAAATGATACACGATGCTTGATGGGACCGACATGAGATCCACCATTATTCTTTCCAACACGATCATCATGGCCTAGAAGCACATAAGATAAAAATAAAATTATATATAAAAATTATTTTATTGACAAAGCAATTATTTCAAGTACGATTGATATCTTTAATATTTGGATTCTTGATTATTATTCCTCATGAAGTTTGTGTATTTATTTACAAATATAAATTAACTTTAATTTTAATTTAACAATATATATTTAAATCCAATATTAACATGGTTTCTCTATAAAAAGAATAAAATTGATATATTAAAAGAAGAAACTATGAGACAAGAATATTTATTACTATTCCCGTTTTTTCTCCTTTAAGTAAAAGCTTTGAAAAAAAGAGAAATATATATCCACTTCTGTTTCCAATTAATCTTGTTTATGGAAGTTTATTACGTTACAATTATTACGTTTACACAGCGACGTTAAGCCAGTTCAGTGACAACTATAGTTAGATTTCTTATATCTAATTGGAGTACATCTTTAGATTTAAAAGAATGTATCAATTGAACGCAAGATTTCACTAATTACAATTGTTACTAAGCTGAATTAATGTCGCCGTAAACTTAGTCAATTAAGCTTGCTATGGAATACTTGAAAAAAGAATAGAGAATACCAAAAGATAGCTGTATCATTTTCTGTAGATATATTAATTTTACACTAAAGAGTGAATGTTAGACCCAAATATATATATCATTGCAGCTTAAGTCATTCTTTGTCTTTTCTTAATTCTTGAATATACAAGAAGATAGAAAGTAAATTAAACTGAGATCAAAATTAATTTATGTTAGTTAAAATAGATAAAAGATTTAGAATAATTATATAGATAATCTTGAGATAATGCGCTGTTAAAATTATACAAAAAATAATGTAATACAAAACTTGAAATAATAACCAAGTCTGTTTTATACCTCGATGATACAAATTGAGATTCAAGGACGATCATAAAGGATAATTAAAAATTAAATCCAACATAAAATATATAACAAACATATCACATTATCACATAGAATAATACAAATATTTAATATAATCTCATCATCAATGATAATAAAAATAAAGATTTTCAATTATATCAAAAGTAATTTAGTTGTATCTAAACATCAACAAGTTTTTATAATTATATGATTGTTGATTAAAATAGTATCATGCCTTTACACCTTTCGAGTATTGAACGTCCATTTTTAATATAACATGTTTAATATAAACATGTTTTCTCTTTATTCAAGATATTTATTCGCAAATTTAATATTTTTTTCTTCTAAGTATATCATTTTTTAAGGTCGCTTTACTGATTCCATTAATCAGCGTCGTAAAAGATGTACATCACATGAATATTAAAACTACGCAGCTTTAAATTCTGCGTGGCGATGGGTGTCCATCTTGATTTTGAGCAAAACCAAACGGCCTCGTATGTAAGAAAAATGCTAAACGAATACTCGAAAATGGATGAAATATGGGAGATTATTGAAATACATATCGGAAAGGATGCACGCATGTTTTAAAACGAAGGGCTGTGCAAAAATCACGCATGATGAGCCACAAAGTTGTGAATAATACTTACCGAAGTAACTTTTGTCTTCATTTCCTCGAATATTGCGGCCACCCCACGATTTATTCGACTTTTTTGGCATTTTTTCTTTTGAAAATGAGTGAACACAAATTTGAAACGAGCTATTTAACGATTTTACACTATTCACGCGCGAACTAAGTATTACTACTTAACCTCAATTCTCTGGATATAACTTTCCAAATTAGATTTTATTCTTTTTTTACAGATACATCCGACACGGCCCACGAACTCCAGAGAAATATTCACGACTAGGAATGATCCGAATCACGATGTAACAAACCATGGTGTAAAGAAGCAAGGTGTGCTCTTGCGCATGAAAATGAGGACGGACCAATGAGGATGGTGGAACAAGTAGCCGGTCATATTAACATATCAGCCAATCAGCGTTTTTCCCGCGATGTTGAAATGTATTATAAATAAGGAAATTAATGAATTTATTTAATTGAGAACTAATAACCAAGAAATAAAATAAACATAAGTAAAATAAGCAAATTTGTGATTACGTAACATGTGATTTGATAATAGAGAATAATTATTAATAATAAAAGTTACAATAATAATTCTCAATTAAATAAATTCATTAATTGTCCTTATTTACACTACATGTTGAATATCGCGAGAAAAACACTGATTGGCTGATATATTAATATAGCGGGCTACTTGTTCTACCATCCTCATTGGTCCATCCTCATTTTCATGCGCAAGAGCATACCTTGGGTCTGTTTTTTTTTCTGAATTGGCTGCACTAGTTCAGAATTTATCTTTTTTCTTCCAGTATAAGAAAGAAAGATAAATTGTGAACTAACAAAAAATAACAGGCCTCTTGTTTCTTTAAACCATGGGCTGGTTGCACACAGGACGCGGCAAAGCGGCAACACGGTCAATCACCGTTTTATTTTCTGATATGTAATGAAGAATAAGTTATATATTTATATTTAATTTATAAATGTCTTATATTTTCAAAATTAAAAAAATAAACTTTATGGTTGCGTTCCGATATTCACCACCAGAAAATATATAATTCATGTCAGATATATTGTAGGTTTTATGTATGTACTGGCGGTGAATATCGGAAGTCTATGAAACAGTTGAAAAGTGTGACAAAAGTCTGTGGCAAATTACTATTTACTGATTCGCGCAACGAAAAGATAATGAGGAATATTTTATGTTTTACACACTTGCTTTATTAAACTGACAATAACATATAATAAAAATTATAGTTTAAATGTGTGAAAAAGAGATTCCGGCAAGTATTTTTATAAGTTATATTTCAACATGAGTAATATAATTCGATACATCTGTTATAAAATATATATAATTGATCTACGTTATTTAAAGTTAAATCGAATGATTCAAGAAAATAATGTTTTAAATGTTTTAAGATTTGTAGCACTATAAATAGTGTTAATACTTTAATAAATTTTAATTAAATGTATTTATTTTTTAGTTTAGTTTATTTTAATTTATTTTAATTTTAGTTTATTTTAATTAATTTTAGTTTATTTTAATTAGTTTTAGTTTATTTTAATTAATTAAATGTATTAGTTATTATTTTTAAAATTATTTAAAATTTACTGCGTATTCTTTTACTTTAAACTTTAAATCAATCATTACTTTAAACTTTTTAATCAATCATTTATAAATCAAAAGCATATATGATATAAAAATTGAAATCAAATCCAAAATGAATTGATTATATATAGAATTATTTAAGTATTTTAAAATTGTTCTTTACTTTTATATATTATAATGTAAAAAATTTAATATCGCATCTCATGCTACATCTATGTACAAAAATTGTATGTATGTACTGTTGGTGACATTATAATATTATCATTTTATCATTGCATAGCTGTTCTATTACATATTTGTATAATAACGTTACGACCATGATACTGTCATTAAAAATTATAGAATACATACTCACTTTGATGAATATAGTAGGTCTTTGACCTCAATTGCAATTTTTTGAAATAAGATTCATATAATGTATATGTAATACAATTTTACATACAATTGAGATTAATATTATAATGTCATAGTATTAAAATAAATTGAATATTATGACTCTTAAAAGCAGAATCATGAAAATAAACATGACCTTATGATCGTATCATTGTATGCATATTTTCTAATTTATAATTTATAATTTTCTGTTGCGAATCTTAATATATATTTTTGTTTTAAACAAATAATTTAACTTTCTGATTTAAGAAGAGAAATTACAACTACAATGAGGAATAAGGGCTAGGAGAGTTAGTGCAAAATACAATGTGGTATCTAAACTAAAAATATAAGTTTATTTGCATAAAATTAATATAGTTAATCTGGACGTCCCGACTCCTTTCGAGTCATCTTCAAAAAATATTCAAGAGATACTTCCATTTTCAGTTATATTATATATATATGACGAAACTTATGGAGATTTATAGATAGTTATATCTATTACAACTGTTAGGCTGAGTGAAAAATTAGCAGAGAGCTAGCTTAAAAGTTGTGACACAAATATTATTTCTTATGTAAAGATTACCATGTTTGCTAGATACTTGTTACTCATCAGATGCAACTAAGCTCGCAATATCAAACATATTTACAATAATTATACAAGTAATAATTAAACAATCTATCGCAAAATACAAAACAGAAGTCAAACTTAAAGATAAAAATGAAAAATAAAATAAAATTATAAAAATGTAGACAAAATGTAGATAAAAGAACATTACTAAATTAATCTATAAAATCGAGTAGTCAAGATTAACTTGTAATACAATGAAATTAATGTTAAAATGACAAAGGAAAAATTAAAAATATAGATGTGTAAAAAGAAAATAGGAGAAATAAAGTCATGTTATAAAAAAATGGGCAAGTTTATAATCTATTAAGTATTGAAATATAAGCATGATGTAAATACTCCAAATTCATTTGCAGATGACTATTGTTTTGAAGTTTAATATGTAATATATCTCGGAATTCCCTTAAAAAATATTTCTTATTTAAAATTTCAACATTTTCTAATCAAACTCTTATGTATATTTCACTTAATTTATATTAAAATGTAAAATGGGTGGAATTATTTTTGCAAACCCATGATTTCTATGTTTCGTAATTTTACTTGAGCTGTTTATATGTTTGTTTCACATACGAAACATCACAACCTTTACATGATATTTTATAAATTGTGATTTTATGGGATATGGGAAAAATGTGATTTAATAATGGACCCTAACTTATTTAAACTAAAGAAAAATATCCGAATATCAAGATTTTTAATTGTACTTTTAAAGAATCCCAAATACAAATTTTATGGAAATGGATCAAATTGCTTCAAATTTTAATATTTTGTTTAATTCATGTCAAGCTTAAAAGTTCTCACTGGCACTCACTCTTCTTTTTTTTATATATGGAAAGAGTTAAAAATACTTAAAATATCATCAATATATGTTGAGGGAACAATTATGGCAATATCATCAATGTATCTAAAATGAAATAGTAATGAAAAACTTAATATCTAAAGAGTTCTCTCCTCTAAATCTCTTATCATGAGATCCGCAATAATTGTAGAACCTATGGGAGTTTCTCAATATATTCTGTTTGTAAACGATATTATTAAAAGTAAAATATGTAGACTCTTCTAGTGAAAAATGATTGATCGAAATAATATTAAATCATTGATATGATCAGATCTCATTGATCTTACTACATTGATAATTTTTTATTTTTCAATGATTTCTCGATGTATTGCGTTTGTATTTATTATTATTATTAATATGAGATATAATGTTTTCTTAATATATATATCATTGTTTTTTTTGTAATCTATCAATTCCATATCGATTCAAATTTAACATGATTATGGCATGATGCATTTGAATTTAAAACAAATACATAATACATACAAAATAAATTGATATTTCTATATACTTTTTTAAAATCTTTTCTTTGACTTTTATTATGTGTATGTAAAATGATACGCTTTACTAAGTTTTTTAATGCTTATTTTTAATAACTCTGCCAGCTTATCTAATGTGATGCGTTTCCAATATTGTTTTAACTTGTAGAATTTATTATTTTCTTTAAAATTGTGATAATGAAACTCATTATTAAATAACTTAGAATATGAAATATTCAATTTTCAAAGAAATTAACATATAAAAAAAATTGTATTATTGAAAATTTTTCAATTAAGTTAACTATACTCAGTAAAAAATATTAAAGAATGTAATGGATTGTTAATAGATGCAATAATAATTTTTGGAGAAGAGGATTAATGAAAAAAATGTTTTTAGGTGTAATGTCCAAAGATAATTTTAGCTGTCGCCCATTTTTACGAATCTGGGAAATACGAAACAAGTCACATCTGCGCGATTAAGAACATAATAACGAAAATAGCTGCAATAAAAAATTTCGTTATCCGTACATCACTTATATAAGATGAAGGACGAGGATGAGGATAAGATGAACAAGGATGAGCTTCTATTTTTCATCGTGACGGTACGTCGCTACCGTCAACGCGGAATTCTCACCTGAATACTCAGGAGCCTTAAGAAGGGGTAAGGACCGAATGGTATATAAGAAGGAATGATATATAAAGAGAACTTTTGTCAATGACACAGACATAAATCGGAAGAAAAGAACTAGTGAGTTTGCTGCTATTGTGAAAGATCTTATGTTTATGAGATATATTAAGTATATTGCCTCTTTTCTTTTCTCAACTATTCTGAACTATTCTGAAAAAGCTTGTTCAAAATAAAACGGCAGAATACTTCATAAGTAGAGGTAAGAAATAATGATAGTGATACATGTTTTAAATATTAGTTTATAATTCATCTTATTCCATATTTTTAATAAATATCTGTTATTTTTTGCTTAAATTCTTTGATTTCTTTTCATATTTTTCCCTGTCTCTATTTTTATTGTTTTTCAAAATTGTTTTATTTTACTTTTTTAGTTATTTGTCATTATTTACTATTCTTTTCTAAAGAAGGTCTAATATTAACCAAAATTGATTTCTGAATTGATACTAAAAGAATTAATTTCACAATATTCTTGAGGCACGTTAAAGTGAGAAATAATATGTAAAATATCACATATTCCTCGTCATCTTTGGTTTCTATAAAAATTATTTTACAAAAAGTTTCTATACAAAAAATTTGTTTCAAAAGTTTCCATATCAAAGACTGAATCAATTTTTAATTTTTATAAAAGATATGATATTAAAAACTAATTCAAAAATCAACTTCCAATCTCAAAACTTATTTAACATTTTAATTTAATAAAGCATATTATTATTTGCCTGTCATATTATTAAATAATATAAGAATATAGTTAATGTGATACCAAGTTTTTACGTCTGTTTGACCTATTAAATTGCTTCATACAATTTAAACTTTCTAGCAGATTATATGACAAAATGCAATTATATATATCGTGCAAAATTGAAACCATTTTGAAAATTAAATGTTTATTAGTTGAAAAAAGATAAAAAATACTTTAATACACATTACTATCATTATTATTATGTAACACAAAAGATTTTCTTATATTTTATATACACAATATTAATTCACAATATTAATTAATTCTTAATTAAATATTTTTTACAAAACTACAAGTTGATGTTTTAAATTGCTAAAATCTTTTCCAATAAAATCTTTTCAGTAAAATCTTTCCGAGGTTTTTTTTAATTTATGAGATTAGAAGGTGTTATAATTGGTTTTTGATATTACATATTTTATAAGAATTAAAAATTAGCTTATTTTTCTGAATGGAAACTTTTATAAAATAAATTTTTTGTATATAGAAGTTTTTCTATAATATATATTTTTATAGAAACCAAAAATAATGAATGCATAAATTTAGTACCATTTTTTACCTTTCTTAAAAAATATATATATTTTTTTATATATATTTATTCAGATCGCACTTTTTCTTAATAATAATTTTTTAATTATTATTTCATGTCTCTTATTAATATGTATACTAATTTTATATCGCATTTGATTCTTTTTAAATATTTTTTTATTTTTATCTGTTTTTTTTTAAAGAATTAATGCGTTTCGTTCTAGAATTATTAATTATATAATAAGTATGGAAACCAACCGATATAAAATGTATCCTAGCATCAATCCTGAAGAAGAAATAGTTATATCTGGTATAGCTGGTCGATTTCCTAATAGCGACAACATAAAAGAACTTCAAGAAAATCTTTTTAATGAAATGGAGCTTGGCACAAGCAATCATAGACGATGGGATAATTGTAATAAATTTTTTGTTAAAACTGAAATGTTTTTTGTATATTATTTTGTATATCAAAAATTTTATTTATATAATGTAAATTATTCTGAAGATATAGTATTTTTAAAGATATTTTTTTAAAGATACTCGTATAATATAAAATTTTTTAAGATATTCTACTCTTAATGTATAAAGAAATAATTGTGTACATCTATATACATACACAAATTTATGTATAAAATATTACATTGTTTTATAGGTTTTGATATGCCTTATCGAATTGGCAAAGTCAACAATGTAGAAAAGTTTGATTCACAGTTTTTCGATATATCTTCTGTAGATGCTCAATCACTGGATCCCGTAACCAGAATATTAATGGAACATACTTATGAAGCAATTATCGATGCAGGTGTTAATCCTAAAGAATTACGAGGAACAAGAACAGGTGTTTTTACAGCAATATGTAGTAATGATACACAAAGCTTTTTAATCTTTGATGAATATCAGGTGCGATATATTTAATGATTTAATTATTTTATGT